AATTACTTAAATTATATAAATATATATTTTGCCACGTACGATTGTATATATCATAATAATTTCCCAACTTTTTTTTTTTGGTTACAATAATTTCCCAACTTAAACAAAGTCTTTCTTGGCTTAGTAAGAAAATTTGATAACGCATTGCACCCTAACACTTTTTGGCCAGTGATGATTGAAAAAAAACTCGCATTTTGATAAGAAGCAAGACAGATTAAATAAGGAGAGCTTTTTGGGGATCTGAGATTAAGTAGAATTGTAAATTACGACTCATGTGCATTGTTATTTGAGAAAAAGAATGATATAACCGTCTAGTCATAATTATAAATATTATTTTAGGTTGATAGTTCACTATATATAAATTTCCAATAGACCGTGAAGCTAATTCTTAAAATTTTGAGAAATGAGTAATGATGCATACAATATTCACAATTTTGCCTAAAAGTCTAACCACATGGTGAGTCTTATAAAACCACTGAAAACTTGCATGCAACGGCCTAAATCCTAAGCCTCCTGGGCCAATAGCATTAATTCTCACTTGTTGAATATGTTAATAATATAATTGAATAATATATTTACATATATAAGCTCAATAACTGAGAATATGTTTATTTTGATTTATATCGACTGAAGCCCAATAACTAATTACATAATCTTTAGGATTTTATCTAAGTTAGAAATAACAATGTTGAACATTCTAAATCTAATATCTCTTGATGTAATACTTCAATTAACTCTAAACCATTTTCTCTAAAACCCATAACGTCCAATGTATCATTATATTGTCACTCCTATATGTGGATGCCATTGCAATTTTAAACTGCACTTGCAGGTGCATTTGTTAAAACCCGCTAAAAGCAAACAAAATGGGGGCTTATACGAGCCTATATTGATAGACCAGGTTAAAAATTTATTAAATTGAGAAATAAAATGTAAGTACAATATTATAATTTAGAAGTCCTGATTAATCTTAATTGTGGTGGAGATATATATCGCCAATTTTCAGCAGCAAGGGAAACAATAAGACCATGCACATGTCCCTTTTCATGCATTGCATTTGCACCCACCTCTCTGCTAAACAAGATTCTATAATGAATTCCCTTAATTATAGACACAAAAAGGAAAAGGTAGCCCTTTTCACGAGAGATATATAATCAAAGGAATTAATTTTTTCCTTAAATAATTTCACTGTGCAATATTGTTATATGGTTGTTAGAAAATCAGCTTCAGAGTGTTAGACACATATCAATATCTTGGGTACATATGTCCAGTACAAGATAATAATCACGGTTGTTATTGGGTCAAAATCTTCCTCAACCATCAAATTTGTACGACCTTGAATGGATTGTTTGTTTTTGTTCACCGAATTGTTCATGACTATAGGGGTTTCCCAATAAGATATACCCAACCAAAAAAGGTAAGTTGTCCTTTGAGTTTTAACTCTTCCTCTAGTACTTAAATGCTTGTATTATATGTAGTATAGATTAAAAATTACAAATTCTAATTCTAATTAGAAAGCTAACTGTTACGTCTACATCACATTTGATTTTTTTTTCTTGAAGATTTCACTTCCGTTTTTGAGTTCATTAATTTTTTAAAGTGATAGAAATGAACAAATTGTTTTTCTAATTAGGGAATATATATATAAATTTTCACCTACTTAAGTTATTTAATTACATTTAAGAATAACAATAGTGGGGGATCACAATTCACAACGTTCAATCCAATTATTTTCATGGGGAGGTGAAAATGATTCACTGCTAATCCAACCAACAGTTAGTAATAATAATTTTCAGGAACTTGTTAACTAAGTACTCTAAATGCATTTATTAAAGAATAAAAATAAATAAATTAAATACAAACTAGGGTTGGTAATGTGTCTTTTCTTTTCCATCTTTTGGTTTGCAGCGAATGCGTTACGTTGCGTGGTAAGCCACAACTCACAAGTGATGGGTCGAGGGTGTCGGAAGTGCTTGTCAAAATGGTACACAAAAATTCGACAGCATAATCTGCTTAATGGGCCAAACATGTTCCTCGATCATTTTCATTTATGGGATGTGATTTGAACCCTGAAAATAACATATTATGATGCATCGACATTTTAAAAAATTTGACGTGTCATGTCTGATATTCTCTAACATTTCAACATGTGTTGCAGTTGTGTTAGAGAATAACATAAACCATTAAAAAGACCCTCACCCAACACTTTATGGTCTGTTTGGAGCACCTGATAAAGAAGATATGATATGATAACTTATCATATCATACCTTTATCTCTTGTTTGGTGGGTCAATAGGATATGATTAGCTTATCCTATTGTCTCATTTTATCCTATCCAATACATGATTTCTTATCTTATAAGAAGAGCTAAGTTAGGATTCAACAGGATAGGATATCAATATTGAATACCCAATATATCCTCACGCTACCCAATATATCCCCACGCTACCCAATATATTTGTATTTATTGCATTATATTCTTTTTCCTCCTTTCTTCTTCTACATAATCTTATCAGATTGCTAATCAAGTGTTCATCAAACACATGACATGATATAGGCTTATCAGCCCCATATCATATCCTACCCTTATCAGTCACATATCATATCCTATCCTTATCCTATCATGTCCACCAAACGAGCCCTTAAGGTTTTGAGTTAAATTTGTTCTTTATATGGTATCAGAGCTTCTTTGACTATAAAGTTAGAGTTCGATCATCACCTCCCCTTACTTTCTAGTGGAATTAAATAATCACCAGAAAATTGGTCTGTGTAATATCCACGCTTCAAGCCCAAAGGACTCTTGCGTGAGGGAGTGTGTTAGAGAATAATATAAATAATTAAAAAAACCCTCACCCAACACCTTAAGGTTTTGGGTTAAATTGGTTCTTTACATGTTGCATTACGTTTTTAGTTCCAACAATTAAATTCGTTGGATTATGATTACCATTTTATTGAGTTTAATATAAATATTTTTGATATCTTATGTTTCTTTGCAAAATTGATGGGTATTATAAGTTTAGTTTCTTTTTTTTTGATAAATTATTAAATATTAAATATAATAGACATGACATAATTAAAAATATTATTTAATATCAAAATATATCCTGAAGTGTCGAAATCTAATTTTTTTTAGAATTAATGTATTAAAATGTCATGTTGTGTAATGTTTTGTATCCGGTGTTGGTGCAACATAGATAACATATATATGGGTAAGGAATTTTATTTGAAATTTCTACTTTCTCCACTTTTAAACCTTGAGTAAGCTGATATTATCTAATTATCATTGGATTGTTATTTTTTTTCTCTTCAGAAACTTTTTAGAATTATCTCTCTTTGATCCAATGGTGATTAGATAAGTAATGAATTTTCTTGGTAATAAAAATATCTCCTATAATATTATATATCTTTTCAGAAGTATTTTTTCGCAATTGCTTGCATTGATTTAGTTCTATTGGATTACAGTAGTCGATTAATTGTAGCTATATTTGTTTCAGTTGAAAATAGGACCACTGAATATATGAAATTTTCTCTTCTTTTTTTTCATTTGGTTTTTGTTTGGCGGCGGTATATATGTACAATATATGTATTGTATACAGCTAAATCGGAAAATGGAATTTCATTGAACAGAAATGATAAAATTATAAAGTAATTTACAAAAATAGAGCTCATTTTCACACTGCAACAAAATACTATTATATATTCATGCTGAATTGCAAGTACGTAATATCGGATGCATGACAATTGAACTAAATATATAACCTACTTATAATTACTAGTTGTTCGAGTCCAAGCTAGCATTCTCTCCTGGTTTCCCGTAGCAGATGAGATAAACGACAAGTTCAGTTCAAACTTGGACAACTTCAAAAGGATTTTTCTTCTATTTCGCTTGGTCTTGTAATATTGCTAATCATATCTATAAAACCTAAGCTATTAGTTTAATTATCAAAAAAACTATTTAAACACATACATTATAATTTATTCCTTTAATGATTTTTAACATAAGAAAATAGAAAAGACAGGACCAACAAAAACTGGGTGCAGTTGTTAGAAAGTTGTATTCTTAATAGAAAGATCAAAGTTCAAATTATGAAAAAGATGATTATTGAAAATGCTTACTTAATCAAGATAACATGAGGCAGGTTATATTTACAAACTTTTTTGGTTACAAACTCTTACAAACTACACTATGTAGGACCGGTCCTACATTAATCACACAGTGTATGACCGGTCCTACATTAGTGTAATTGCAAAAAAATTTGTAAATAGATCTTGTCCCAGATAATATTTGGGAGATCAATATCACAATAATATCTGAAAAATACATTGCTCAAAGATCAAATAAATAAGAAATAAATGAAAAAAGACAAGGAGTTTGATATATATATATAGGGAGAAAGACGAGGAGTTTGATATATATATATATATATATATATAGGGAAAAAGACTTCTCATGTTGCATGAGAAGTCTCTTCTCTTATCTCTCTCACTTCGATGTGCCAATTACTTTGCTAGTTTTTATTTTTTTTTCTTTAAGGTGAACTCCATCCCTTTCTCTTTCTGTAAAAAAAACTTGAATTTCTTATTCAATATGAAAAATTGCAAGTATATATATATATGAATAAGGAAAAAACTGCATATTTGAGAATAATGTGATGGGTAGGTACGGTGTGCATGTTGTTATGTCAAGGAGATTCATGTAGGCTTGTATCAATATCTATATACTCATTTAAAGGTCAAAACGGGCATTTGGTCTAGTGGTATGATTCTCGCTTAGGGTGCGAGAGGTCCCGAGTTCAATTCTCGGAATGCCCCATTTTTTTTAATTGTTAAGTCTTTCAATTTGTTTTTAATCTCTTCTTATGCATAAAGATAGAACCATATTAGTTAACCAAAACTACCAATTACAGACTACCAATATTGTAGCCAAAATGAACTACCAGTTACAAACTACAAACAAGAGCTAACTGTAGGCAGTGGAGGATATAATGCATCATTATTGATCACTCTTCAGGAAGTTTTCCTGGTACATCACCTCTATCACTTTCATTTTTCCCGCACATATTGGACGACAAATTGCTCGAGTCCATTCTACTAGTGTTGCTTTCAACCTTCAAAAGTCCATACCTAGCAGCAACTTCTCTCCATTCCTTCTGCTCTGATAGATGCCCATGCCTTAACAAATACCTTCTTAGCTCGTTCCTGAGGTTCCTACTTGGCTACACCCAACACACCAAATATTAAAGATCACGTACAAAGTATTAGCACTTGTTCTGAAAACCATAACACAAGTTACACAACAACATATGCATACATACATACATGGGTAATGGAAATGTATGCTCTCTCATGTGTGATTTCATTTTGGGAAGATTATACTTATTACCTTTTTTTCTTATCACCTCTTTCAACTAATTCTATAATAATTGAATCAAAATCAAATCAACGATTATAAAATAGCATTTGATGTTGATCCAATAATAACAAAATTAGTTGTAAGAGGTGATAAGAAAAAAGGGGTAAGTATCAACAAGTTATTTTTTCCGCCACTTAATCCAACAATTTTTCTCTTTCGTTTCTTATTCGTGTTGATTTGTTTATCCACAATCAAGTGAAATCACACACACGAGAAGATCCACTCCCAAAAAGTAATACACTATTATTTGTAAGCACTTTGAGTTGAATCCAATCCAGCTTTGAGCATAAGTTTTGTAGTATTAATTCAACACATGATTGCAAATTTTGGTAAAGTCAGACATTTGAAGAGGAAAAAAAACACAAATAACAATTATATGAAAAAATGGCAAACCTCAGCCTGAGATTCCAAAGCAAGCCTAAAGAAGTCAGAGGCGACAAAGTGTTTGCCAACAGACTCTGCCATTTTGATTTGGCTAATCCAATAAGACGAAGTCTCAAGCCTATCAAAACGGCATTTGCTACAATGCACTGCAGTGTAGAACGGTGTAGGTGGCACTTTAGACTTGGTTCTAACATTGGTTGATGCTACCGGAGTTTTAGGCTCTACAGAATCCTTATCTTGGGAATTCTTTAATGTTTTCTCTGCCTTTCGTTGTGGGAACGTTTCATTTTTCTTATTCAATCTGGGATTCACATTTTCTGGGGATTTTTCATCAGTGGCCTGTGTTTTAGCGCTGGTGTCAATGATACATTTGGGTTGTCTCCGTGGAACAGCAATTTTTGTTTTGATAATACACTTGTCTGTCACGGATTTTCCTGTAATGTTTGTGTTCCTAGCGGTACCAAAAACCCTGTTTTGTCTGGAAACCAAAGCAGATAATTTAATAACAATAATAATAATAATAATAAGGGAAAAGTTTACCAATACCCTGTAGTTTGCTTCAGAATCATCTATGTACTTTTTTTATCATATATGTCCTTGTGGTTTGCAAAAGGGTATGTTTTTTATCACATATGTCCTGTGATTTTTTATTTTTTACAAAGCACAGGAGCATATGTGATACAAAAAAATCACAGAACATAAGTAATTCTGAAGCAAACTACGTGGTTATTGACGAACTTTTCCCTAATAATAATAATAAAACAAAGGTACAGCAGAGGCACATTGATGGATAAAAAGTGTAGTGTTACCTTTGGGGTTCACACGTGCCTATTTTGGCTGCTTGATTGATTTTTGGTTTTGAATCATTGGGTTTGCCTGTTACTATATAAGAAAATTCTTTGCATTAAAAAAAGAAGTAAAAAACTTATAGTTAAGCTACGAAAATGTGATGAGGAATAATAACAGGATGAGAAAATTGCGTTGGTACCAGGAAGTGGCGTCAGAAGAGGATCCATATGGAAAATATATCACAAGAGGTTTGCAAGCAAGGAAGCAAGTGTGTGAGATTGTGGGTCGCATGCCATTACCAGTACCAGTACTTGGGAGGAATGGAAAAGTACGAGACTCGGTAGTTGTAACCGTTGGAATGCACGAGCGGGAACAGGTTTTCCTTTTCACACAAGCGTTGTTACTTGTTAGGATGAACTAAGGATGGCTATTATGGGCCCGGGTCCACTTAAATTAGGCCCAGTGACCCAAACCCTATCATAAAAAAAGTAACAAAATTCTTTCTTTACCATTTGTCTTGGTCAACATTTCAAACATCCAAATTCTATTGATTGTCTTTTTTTGTGTTATCCATAGCAAAAAATAAGATGTGCTTAGGCTCACATTTTACAAAAAAGACTTATTCTAGTATTTTTTATTTATTTTTAGTAGATAGACTTAGTCTAATCTAGTTATGTACATCTTGGCTATTAATTGCTAAAGATAAGTCAACCCTAGAAAGAAAAAATCCATGTTAGATAGTAGGATGGGCTTAGGCCCACATTCAACAAAATCGACTTTGTCTAATTTATTTTTGTTCACTTCTACTATTAATTGATAGCTATGGATAAATTTAAGGGAAGATTAATATTGGAGAAATCATCTTGTACTTGAGTAACAGTAATTGATATCTCTGTCGCTTGCAGTTTTTTTTTTTGTTATAATAAAAAATTTAAGTAGGGTTAGACAGTGGTATCCCACTAATATAAAAAAAGACCCCAATTTCTTTAAGAATTTCAGAATGTCACTTACAATTTTTGTTCAAGTGAGATGATGTGAAATTCTATTTACTGTTTAACCACTGCCCACTAGCATGATTTTTTTTTTTTTTATATAATAAGAGTAATAAGGTTTGAATTTATGACCTCATACAAACTACTACAACCTTGTCACTAAGGGGGGCGCTTGGTTGAAGAATTTTTTTTTGAATACTAGGGAAATGTAATTGATAGAGAAATGGTTATAAAATGAGTTTGGTAGGAAAATGTAAAAAAAGTTGTTTGGTTAAATTACCGGACAAATTAAGTAAAATTTATAAAGTCTATGTTTGATTGGAAGTAAAATATTGATGGAAAAATAAATTTAAATTACAAAATAACCCTTAGTCTTGGGTCGTTCCTTGCTGCCAGGTACATCTTTTGCAACTTCTGAGTTTATTTACTTATACTTTTTTTTATTCATAAAACAAATGATTGTTCATATATTTTTTATTCTGGGATATGAAAGAAAGATGATCAATGCAACTTGAAGGAAAGCAAATCACTACAATTTTCATCATAATTGGTTAGTCTCTTACTCCAGTTCTTCATATTGAGTAATAGTGTCCCAGTTGGTAGCAGAGTCTTTGCAGACCCTTTAACCAAAAATTGTTTCCGCAAGCAACTTCACTTCCATTTCTGCTGTGTTGTTTTCTCTTCATACTCGTAAATCCTCTCTCTTCCTTAGTAGGAGCAATGTCTAGGGGTGCACAGTATTTTGCCATTTATCTGTCCCTCATTTAGCTAGTTATCTTGTGAAATACCATGTGAGAAGTGAGTTTTTTGCACAGTATTTTTTGTCCATTTTTTCACACAATTCTGAAAAGCTGGGGAACTAAGTTTGGTAGGCAAATTTTGTGTTCTCTTCTACCAAACATGGGTAACACATAATCCAACTCTTAGATGCCTAGGTATCCTCTCAAAAATCCTCTACCAAACAGCACCTAAATCAATCCTAGTAGGTTAGCCACTAGTATGATTAGTTGGCTTCGTAGACTATTGTTTTTTTTCCCATGAAAAGGGCTATGTCCAAGGGAATTTTATAAATTATTCTAATTTAATACAAAATACAAAAATTGAACAAAAAATTTAAAAATTTAGAAATTTTATAAAATAATAATTTTTTCTTAAATTGACTTAATTTATACTATTAATTTTAAAAATCAATTCAATCTAAATTAAACTAGATTTACACACACATGTATAAAGGAATTAACATTACTCCTATAGTAGGAAATAAAGTTATTTTCTATGATGTAAAACGATGTCATTTTGGGGTTTGGAAAAAAATTAAGAATATTTTAGTAAAATTCATAATACACGATAACAGTAAAATTTTTAAAATACCCTTTATATTTTTTTTAAGGAAAAAGTGTTTGTCATTTTAAATGACATAAAGTTATGTTATTTTAAGAGAAAGACAGACACAAGAAAATATTTTTTTATTTAAAATTTAAATTAAAAAAAAACTCACCCAGTTTCTCTCGCATGATTTCCATTCCTTGTGTCTATCTCCCTCTTAAAATGACATAACTTATGTCATTTAAAATGACAAACATCAAACCCTTTTTTTAAACCCCAAAATAAAGTTGTTTTAAAACTTTTGGAAATAATTTTATCTTCTGTTGCAGGAGAATTATTTTTCTCATATATAAAACGCAATATACTACTCATATTTTCATTATTTTAAAACAGTTTTAATTTAAAATTTAGCATATATTATGAATTATGGAATGAGATATTTAATAATTTAAATTAGTTTTTATTATATATATATATATATTATGTATTTTATTATTTTATTTACTTCCTCTTTGTAAATAAAATAAAATAAAATGAAAACAAAAAAGTTATCTAATCTAAATCGTTTTAAATTAGGTTAAATTAAATATAAATTTAAAATCAAATTTGTAAAATAAAAAACCAGCGAATTAGCTTTTTTCTTTCTTTCTCAAAACTGATTCGAAATACTCCTACCGAAATTTATTTAAACTTATCAAAATTTCATACGGTTGTTTGGGTCTTTCCTCTCTTTATTTTTTTTAACAATTAGTTACAGCTATAGTTCTTTCCATTGAAAATTCAAGATCTGTGCTGGATAATTGTCAAAGCTTAATACTATAATCAAAAGTTAAATATCAATCCATCAGATCATATTCCTCCACTTTGTATGATAAATCAGCGTATGTGCGTCGTACACATGCTTATTCAAGTAATGTAGTGATATACCTTTTAAAGATTTTCATAGGTGTTAAAGAACTTCAAATTAGTATATGTAATGCTATATGTCACTTATTGCGACCCGCTATATATAAGTCGAATGAAATGTAAGAGTTTATTGTAAGAGTGTTTTTGTTTTTTAGTCTTTACAATGTAATAATTTGTTTTTGTTCCGGGTTTGTATATTCGGGAATGGGCCGGAAGAACTGTGTCTGGGTTATGGGTTGGTTATCTCACTTATTAGAACTTGAGGTGGGTCTTACCATGATGGCACATTCAAGGTAACCACCTCTCATCCACGTCCCAGGTAACCACCCTTCATCCACGTCTAGTGTAACTACCCAAACTAGAAGTATATATATAGAGAGGAATACCCTAGGAAGGGGACTCAGATTTAGAAAACCCATATAAATGTTCATCCAGAACATTTGACGTCGTCTGTGGGAAAGGTAAAACTATTCCTAGGCATTTTCTTGGGTCATGGCAAGCAATGACCATGATGAGCGAACGGTGGAGAATGAAGAGAACGGAGGGGAAGAAGATTCCTTTCGGACCAGTGGAAGGAGTCGATCATTAGATACCATTGGAGAACCTTTAATTCAGTTGGCGGAGGAGATAAGGAACATGCAACATCAGGAAGGAGGAAGAGGGAGGCAACATCCAGAGGAGAGATTACCTGTGGGGAACATGCCACAAGGCAGGGACAAGTGGAGAGGTTCTGTATCTCCCCTTTCTAATTATATTCCGTTATCACCTCCAGCCGAGGTGGGGAATAAGAGGACAGAAGTTCGAAGAGGGCAAGTATCTCAGATATCCAGAAGTCTTCTGGAGAGGAGAAATTATCAAGGGGAAGGACGTGGAGTAAACCGGGTGACAGAAGAAGAAGCTTATGAGGAAAATGTTCGGGAAGCAAGAAGAGAGCGGGTGCGTCAAGAAGAGGATAATGAGCAACCCCGTTGGGAGGCATGGGAGGACGAGCAACGGCAAGAGAGTCGTCATTACTATGCTCGTCCTGGAGAACGAGGGCGAGGTCCGAGACGATACGAAGAAGCTAATGGAAGAAGGAGGACTGATGGAGAAAGACAGTATATTTATTACAGAGACGAGTTCCCACGAGAAGAAGATGAGTACTATTATATACCAGAAAATCGAGCTCAGAGAAGAGAGCGGCAACCAGTAGTGAATTATGGTCCTCGAGATTACGAAGGACAAATGATGAGACAAGAAAGACCGGGTTGGAATGAGCGGATGAGGAGATTACCACAACAGATGCAGCAGGGGGTTCCTATACCGCCTATTAGTCAGGTGCCTTCAGGAACCCCTTTATCTTGGAGGTTGAGGGCGGAGCCTGTTCCGAGTTGGTTCAAACAACCAACTGAGATGAAGGCTTATGATGGGAGCTCGGATCCAAAGGAGTTTGTAACCGTGTTTCGAGCAGCAATGTCATTATGTGGGGAGTCAGAGTCATTGTTATGTCGGACCTTTCCAGTTTTTCTGAGGAAACAGGCGTTAGGGTGGTTCACGGCGTTGCCAGTGAACTCCGT